ATGGTTGTTGTAGTCTGATTATACATTTTGAATGGACTGGGCTGGGCCGAGCTTAATGGCCCATGGACAAGCTCAACCCATTTTAGATTAGGCTTGGCTTAGTCCGGTCCATTTCATATAAAGCCCGCCCCCAGCCCAACCTGGTCCGTTGAACAGGTCTAGTGGAGAACAAATGCACTGTACATGAGGAATAGTACGAGGAGCTTTTTATTCAATTATTCAGTCCTTTATTCAAGTATGAGGCAATTATTTATTTACTGATGTCATTCTATACTTAATAAGGATTGAGGAAAAGTAGTGAGTTGATGATGGAGAACAAATCGACAAATTCACTAATTGGAAATTGCATGTAAGGGGAGCAATGTGTTATGAACCAAAATATCATGTCAACAAGAGGGAAAATTGTTAAATTGCCAAATGTAGACATTTAAACTTTAAAGTGCTCATTATGTCGTTTGTAAAACTGGGCACCGTGCCGGGCCGTGCCGCCGCGGGCCGTGCCTGGCAGGCCACGGGCTGGTTCGTGCCGTGCCGGTCGTGCCGGCGGGCCCAGGATTTCGTGCCGTGCCGGCCATTTTCACAGGCCAGCCCACGGCACGGCCCTCGTGCCTGGCGGGCTCGTGCCGTGCCGGCCACGTGCCGGCCTGCGGGCTGGCAGCGGGCTGGTGCAGTTTTCAAATAATTTTTTTTTTTTTTTTTTTTTTTTTATATATATATATATATGACAACATTATAAATTAATAAGTTTATAATGTATATAAGTTATAAAATTATAATTATAAGTTTTATAAGGTTATAACTTATAAGTTTATAACTTATAAGTTATAAGTTATTAAGTTATGAATATTATAATTATAAGTTGAATATTTATGTTTTATAATTTGTATATTCAATATTTATATTTATATATTTAATTTATACTATTACTTTAAAATTTAATGTTTATGATTTATTAGTAATTGGTATAATTTTATTTTATTTTAATATGAATTTACAAATTGTAACAAAACGGGAAAAAAAAGGCAAATTGGACTTTGGATGTGAATAATGCGTACTTTATATTATTATTACTTGAGTTGAGAAAATTGTACAATGATAACAATGATAAAAATCATACAATGATGGTATTAAACAAAAATTGGAAAATGATAAAATTGATATTTTTAAAATCGTACAATATACAATAATTGTCTATTCTTCTTCTCCTTCTTCTTGCTCGTCTTCGTCTTCGTCTTCGCCTTCGCCTTCAAGGTCATCGGCTAGTTGCATAGATTGGGAACTAGCCGAACCCGAACCGGAAGCGGAGGTTCCTTCTTCGTTGTCGTTGTGATCGTAAGAACGGTCTTGTGAGCGATTTTCCGCATCCAACCAATCTTTGAAACACACGCACATTTCTAGTGTTTCGGGTTTTAGACTTGTTCTTCTATCGTCTAAAACCCTTCCGGATGCGCTGAAAGCTCGTTCGGAGGCGACGGAGGAAACTTGGATAGCAAGAATGTCTCGTGCCATTGCCGCCAAAGTTGGATGCTTCGAGCTTTGTTGTTTCCACCATGCAAGGAGGTCGAGGTTGTTTATCTCATCGTCGTCCATGCCTTTGGTGAAGTCGTAACTCAAGTACATCTGCAACTCCGAGACGTCGCTTTGCGTTCTCCTGATTGATGAATCACCTGAAAACCTTGAAATCAAGTTAGTAGCTTGTGAAAATAAATGTTTGGCCTTCTTACTTACGTTTTTGGATGGTTGAGAAGGCCCTGAGCGAGGAACGGTGCCATATTTGGCTTCATAGACTCTATATAAAGCAAAAAACTGATCCTTCACATTAGTCTTATAGTTTTCTACATCATCGTCAAGAAACATGCATTGAAAGTAAATGTCAACTAACATAAATGTGTTTTCATACTTTTGCCTAGGATCTAATATGGAAGCAAAAATATAAATCAAAGGAATCTCACTATAATATTTACGCCACTTTTTTTCCATTGCTGGAAGATACTGATCATAATCACTTTGATGGCGATGATCAGCGAAAAGTTGGGCGAGTAAGCATGCATTAGAAAGAAAGTTTTGAGCACAAGGATTGTAAACAGTAGAAAAACAATACGTCATGTTATATAATAACTGTAAAAATTGCATATATCTTTCACAGTTATTCCAATCATCATCATACAAAGCATTTTGTGGAAATTTTTGGTTGTAAAATAATGTTAACGGGCCCTTGTACTCAATTGCCTTTGTTAACATGTCATAGGTGGAATTCCACCTAGTTGGGCAATCGGTTCTAATTTTTATTACCCTTATCTTTTGTTGTTTTAGAAAACTCTTCCATTCTTGGTATCTCATGTTAGAGCTATTAATAGACATAATAGCATATTTGATTTTGCTGTAGTATGGGCCAATTGCCCGAACTCCATCCTGTACACATAAGTTAAGTACATGGCAAACACATCTAGTATGAAGAGCTTCACCGTCTAATAGTACATCGGTTAAGTTTTGTTTGATAAGATTAGTTGTGTATGTCATAGAGGTTGCATTATCAAAAGTCATAGACATCATTTTATCTCGAAGGTTGTATTCGTCTATTGCTTGCATTAAATGGTGAGCAATGTTAATGCCGGTGTGTGGGTATTCCAACATTTTGAAATGTATTATTCTTTTTTGTAACATCCATTGATCATCTACCCAATGGCAAGTCACACATAAATAGTGATATTTATAACCACTATCCCAAGAATCGGCTGTTAAAGATACTCTACAGTTAAGGTTACTCAATTCGGCTTGTAACCGGACTTTGTACTCTAGGAAATTTTTCATTGCGGCGGAACGAACGGTTTTCCTAGAGATTCTTTTATGTTGGGGTTGTAGTGCTTTGTTAATGTAGGTGTTGAATGCGTCACTTTCCGAGAAAAGAAAAGGTTGTTCGGCGTGTACTATCATTTTTCCTAGTTCATCCCTATCCCTCTCGTAGTTGTATGTAAAGCCGTATGGATGGAATTGGGAAATTTTGGGCTGGGTTGGATCACTAGCTGGTTTTGCACAAGCTTTCATGTGTCTAGATAAGTGTCCCGTCCCGTTTTTGGTAACTGCCGTGAATACACTATTACATGTTTTACATTTTGCCCATTGTTCACCATCTTTACTTAGGACAAAATAACGCCATACCTCACTCCTTCGGTTTTTCAAAAGTAGCATCTCAGTTTTGGTTAACCATTCATGATGTGTGTGATGGTTAGTAGTGGGACTAGTGGGAGTGGCAGTAGAAGGGGTAGAACCGGAGGGAATTCGGGTACTTTCTTGGCTACCTTGGCTAGAACAATAGTTTTGTTGATCACCGATATAATTAGGTGGAAATTGGTATGGTGGTAGTGGAAATTGGTTTAGTGGTGGTGCTGGAAATCCCGACGTATTATATGGCTCATAGCCCGGGGGGAAGTAAATGGGGTCATTGGTTTGACTCGTAATTTGGGGGCTCGTTGTATTTGGTGGTTCCCTAGAACTACTACTACGGATAAGTCGGCCTTTCCCCCTAGACCTAGATGATGGGTTGTTCGATGCCATAATTAACAATTAATTTTTTTAATAAAAAGTGGTTAACTATAATAATAATAATTAATAACAACAATTTTAACAATAAAAATATCAATAATAATAATTAATAACAACAACTATAACAATAACAATAACAACAAAAATAAATAATAACAACAATTGTAACAATAATAATAATTAATAACAACAATTATAACAACAACAATAACAATTAACAACAATAATAATTAAACAAGATTATTCTAATAATAACAATAAAACAATAATAAATTTAAGATTAGTTTAGATCTTACAACCGTGCTTCAACGCTCCACTAATTACGATTACGAACTTTTTAATTTTTTCCGATATTAGGAAAATAATTAGAGAATTTAAGAGAATAATTAGAGAATTTAAGAAAATAAGGATTATTAGAGATTTAGAGAATATAAGAGATAAGAAGAAGAGATTGTGATTTTGTGATTTGGGAATGAAATGGAGGTGAGTATTTATAGAATTTTTGGGGAGCAAATTGGCAAAAAACTAGCCGTTTTATAGCCGTTTTTTTGGCTTATTAAGGAGCTAGAATAAACGGTAACATTACCGTTGGCCCGCGGGCCGTTCCGGGCCGTGCCTACGGGCCAGCACGGCGGGCCATGGCCGTGCTCGTGCCGGGCCGTGCCTGGGAATTCTCAACCCTGTCCGTGGCACGGCCCGTGGCACGGGAGTTGAACTTCGTGCCGTGCCGTGCTTGAATTCGGGCCGTGCCGGGCTGCGCCGAACGGCGGGCCGTGCCGGGCGGCACGCGGGCCAACCCGACCCGTGCCCAGGTTTAGTCGTTTGCATCCTTTTAAATCAAAAGCTAGTGTGTGACACGATCGTTGTTTTAAATACTTTTAGTTAAGGATCTTGCTAATAAGCGCCCCGGAATGCTAGATAAGGGATTAATATATTACTTAAAATAGTATTAAATTCAGAATGCATGACAATGTCATACGTCGATTGGTGTAATTAATGTTAATTTTATCATAATATTTCCACATTTAGTTCTCTTATCTAACGCCCCGAGAGCGCTCATTAGCTTTTACCTTTTTTTAAAGCAAATTACAAAGTTACATTTCTTTGTTTTTCCCAGTAAAAGGTAAGACTCATTAATGGGGCATTTAGTTAGAACAATGAAAACAAATTAAATAAGAGGGGGAAAGGAATCATGTCTATTGAAAGGAATCAATTTGTGTTCGAGGGTAAGAGTATTTGTTACCTTAGGTTTTAGAGTGGTAACAAATGTGTGAAACCCCTTACCCTTTAATACATGAAGTAATGAATACAAAGTAGTTATTCGTATACTTCCTTTGTTTCACTTTGAAACCAAAAAGATATGGCCGTACGAGATTGTCAAAATATGAAATTGAATTTCATCTACAAGTATATAATTTGCAGTTCGAACTAGCTGTGGAGATTAGAGACAGAGGCACCAAATACCAAGCCAACTCGAAATAACCTAATTCAAATTTTGACTTGTTTGAACACTATTTTAGCATTGCCTAACTCGACCCGACTTTACCAAACCGACTTGGATACGCGTATTGTCATCTCTGATTAGACATTTACAGTCCGGGGGCACTACGGAAAACTCCGTAACAAGTACGAGTAACAATCCGACTGTGGTTGCTTCATCTGCATTCTCTCCTGCAAAAAGGGGACATGAAGAAATGAGAGGCTTCTCAAATTTAGCTTCTAGGGCTTCTCCTGCGCTTAGAAACTCTACTCAAAATCCCCCAAATCAATTGAAAACCTTCCAAAAACAAAACCCTTCAATTGTTACTTCAAAATACCAGCAATTTGAAGCGAGAAATTTGGGAGGTAAGTCTTCGCTCAATCCTCGTTTTAACAATTCCAGCTTTAGGTATACTTCTGAACACAAATTTCCCCCAAATTCAATTGATCATATAACCCTAACTCAGATTTTATTGAGAAAAGATTGGCATTTGTTGCTAAACCATGAATTAAAGGCTGGGAGGGTGGTTCTAACCCCACAATCTGTGGTTAGTATTTTGCACAATCATGAAAACTTGTTAATTTCAATTAGGTTTTATATTTGGGTTTTGAATATTAATCCATTATTCCAAAAGAATCAGCAAATTCGCGGTGTTTTGGGTAATAATCTATATAGAAAAGGTCCGGTTTTGTTGAATGCTGAGTTAGTTGAGGATATTAGGAGTTCTGGGTATCAGATTACTGAGGATTTTATATGTATTTTGATTGGAAGTTGGGGTAGATTAGGTTTAGCTAAGTATTGCGTTGAGATTTTTGGACAAATTTCATTTTTGGGTCTTAGTCCTACTACTAGGTTATATAATGCTGTACTTGATGCTTTGATAAAGTCGAATTCGCTTGACTTGGCGTATTTAAAGTTCCAGCAGATGTGTGCTGATTATTGTAAACCGGATAGGTTCACCTATAATATCCTTATTCATGGGGTTTGCAAGGCCGGAGTTGTCGATGAAGCTCTTCGGTTGGTTAAGCAGATGTCGAGTTTAGGTTATGCACCTAATGTGTTTACATATACCATACTAATTGATGGATACTGTAATGCTAATAGGGTAAATGATGCCTTAAGGGTTTTGGAGACAATGAGGGTTAAGAAAGTGGCTCCTAGTGATGCTACATATAGGTCACTGGTGCATGGAGTGTTCCGTTGTCTTGGGAAAAATGAGGCATTTAAACTGTTATCTGGATTTGTTGAGCGAGAATCAATTTTGCCTAAAGCACTTTGCGATACTATATTGCTCTGCCTCTCGAATGACTCTATGGCCAGAGAGGCAGCTTCATTTTTGAGAAAATGCAGGGAAAGAGGCTATCTGCTTGATACTTCTGTTTTTAACATCACAATGAATTGTTTAATAAAGAAACTGAATGTTGAGGAGACTTGTGAAATAGTGGATAGCTATATAGAATTAGGTTTAAATCTATCGTTTCAAAGTTATCTTACCCTAATTGAAACTTTGTTCAAAGGGGGAAAAGAGAGAGAAGGAAGTCAGTATTTGATGCAGATGTTTCAAGCTGGATTACTATCAAATGTGAACTCGTACAATATGGTAATAGATTGCTTGCTGAAAGCTAGGATGGCTGAAGAGGCACTAGATATGTTCTTAGGGATGCAACAAGGAGGCATTACACCAAACCTTACTACTTTCAATACATTAATTGATGGGTGTTTTAAAACTGGGAAAATAGACAGGGCTTGTGAATTCTTGGTGACGCTCTTACAGCATGGTTTTAAACCAGATATATTCACTTTTAGTACAGTAATTGATGGTCTCTGTCGGGTGAACAAGATTAAAGATGCATTTGATTGTTTTGCGGAAATGAAGGAGTGGGGTGTTAATCCTAATTCAGTGACATACAACATATTGATTCGCTCTTTGTGCATTGTTGGGGATATTTCTCGTTCCATTGCATTGTTTAAAAAGATGCAAGCTGATGGAATAAGCCCAGATGCTTATTCATTCAATGCTTTGATTCAAAGCTTTTGCAAAATGAATAGGATTGAAAAGGCAAAACATTTGTTTGTCTCCATGATTGCCTCGGGGCTGGCTCCAGACAGTGTCACTTATGGTGCGCTAATTAAATCAATGTGTGATACTGGTAAATCTCACGAGGTGATGGATATTTTAATGTCAATGGAAGCTAATGGATGTGTTCTGGATTCATGTACCTGTAATTTACTTGTCGATACCCTTGTAAAATTGGGTCAGTTCAAAGAAGCCCAGGAAGTTGTCAGTAAATGCAACCAGTGGGGTGTATCAGTGAAGTCTGTCTCAATTTTGTGAGCCTTGATTTCAAGTCCTGTTCTGGGCCTTCTGGCATTTGAGCTGCCCCGAAGGAGGTTTAGTCCCAAAGCATATGCTGTGTGTTCCCATTTACTGCTGACTTGGCTGCATCAGAGGTAATTAGCAGAACACCCTTTTTTTTTTTTTTTTCCAAAACTTTTCTTTTTTCTGTGCTTGTAGCTTTTTTTTATCTATTGTTTTGCTAGATATTGTTGCTGACAAGATGATTACTTCATTGTAGTCATTGAATTTTTTCATTTGTACATAATAACAACCTGATTCTTCATTGGTAACAAGATCCCCCTTAAAACAAGCAAGTAAAGAAAAGAGCAAGAAAATAGAAAATAAATTTCTTACTGTGTAATTGTTAGTTACATTATAAAGCTTTTTGCATGTTTATATTTATCTGTGTAAAGCCATAATTTCATGAAACAGTTTATGGTTGTATTGTTTGTTATATTATATTTGTGTCAAATGTTACCGGATTTGCATATTTTCTTCGGCATTTTCTGTGGTTCCTGGTGACCTAGGCTCACTTCTTCTTTTATGAGTCTTAAATCTTAGTTGGGAACTTTTATAGGATGGGCTCACTTCTTCTTTTATGAGTCTTAAATCTTAGTTGGGGACTATTATAGGATGGGCCGGATCATTGTTATTAAAATCCCTATTTAAATCTTAGAATCTTACGATTTTACGATTCACGTATGTCATACGATTCAATTTACAATTCCTCTACCCGATTCTACATATTTCTCTTAACTAGCGAAATCCTTATAAGTTTAGAGCATGCCTATATAGTTATTTGTAAATATATATTGTCAATTATTGGTTGCTTAATGGGTAAACAACTATTTTCTATTAATTATTAGGTTTCAAACTCATAATTTAAATATATTTCATTAAATTTAGATATGACGTCTTGATTATGCATGTCGGTATAATCTTACGATTCAATTCTGAGAAGCCCTTCCGATTCAAAGTAGAATCCTGATTTCAATAACTTTGGCCAGATGCGTCGCACCTAAAAAAAAGATAAAATACTGTTCGTTGTCTTAATATTTGCTCCATGAGCAGATGGCACAATAATTTAAGGGAGAAAAAGTAGAAACTTCAAAGTGAATGAGTCTATGTGGGACCGAGATTAAGAAAAAAAAAAAGTAGAGAAGATAAGTATTCCATTAGAGGAATGGATCAACTAATTTGAGTCATCCAAATAGGAATATAGGTCAAGTAATCTGAGTTGGTGGGAGTACGATGTATTAAAAAAGGGATTGAACTTGAAGTTACAATATGAGGGAATTCTTGGTTCCCATCAGTGACACTTTGACACCAACCTTCTCTAGTAATATTAGCATGCATTTATTGTACACTTTACCTCAATCTCTTCCACAGTTCCTATGTACTGCCAACTGCATTCTATTTTAAGGCTCTTGTGGTGTATATTTCGTAACCTAAACGTTTAATGTCTTGTATGAGTTGTATCTGCTGTCATGAATGCCTCTGCTTTACCACCTTATCGTTACTTTAAGCTCTTAGTTACATACTTAATATATACATTCCCTTATGAACGAAAGAACTTGAACATGTTTACTCAACCTGTATGCCATTGTTGCTGACTAATTTGATCCTGAGCTTGTTTGGGATATGCTTACATTCTGCAGAAGAATCAGCTAAATGCAAGAGGATCCCCCAACCTATTCTGTATTCATATGCATGTGAATTTACTCCGAACTAGAAGAGGCTGTTTCTTAAATATCTTACAATGCTAGCTAATTCTGTTGAATTTTTTTAGGACTCTTTAATCTGGATTTTGGGGAAACTTTTCTAGGCAACCAAAATGCTACATCCCAAAAGGTGAATACACAACACGACCTTTCATGATTTATACAAAATTCTAAATTTAAGTCTAAAGGCAAATAACTTCTATTGTAAATGTGCACTTAATCTTATGGCCAAAAAGTAGTGCATCAGATTTGGTTTTTGTATATATGAAAATCTGATTAGATCCACAATTCTTCCTGTAATATGATTATGCTGCTGCTTGCTCACTTGTTCTCTGGAAAACGGCCAATGCTCAATTCTCAACTAAAAACATGGTAGATAATCAGATCTTCATATACTGTTTTGTTAGTATATTAAAATTTTATCTCTGAAAAGGTATGAGAACCCAACGAGGACCAAACTGTAAGCCAGACCTTTCTTGGATCTAAATTTGCATCTCTGAATCTATTACTAGTAGTATCTCATGACTTCATCAAGTCCATAAGATGTGACCAAGTTTTACGCTGGCCGCCACAGACCTACTGCAACTCTCTTTCTTTATCCGGTTTTAAGACCAGCAGTGAATGCCACAAAGTGACACTTATAGGTGGAGGGAGTTTATATTGGTTAAATTTATTTATTTTTCGATAAAATTAATTTTAGCTGAAACGTAAGCTGAGGAAAAGAGAGTCTACATGAATATGGCTCTTTAAACTATTTGTGGCTCTTATTTATCATGAAGTAGCTTTTATAAGTGCATTGTAGAATTGCTCTCTTTGCTATCAGAGGGAGTAAGGTTCGGAAATATAATCCTACTTATCCTGCCTTGAATAGGAGTCTATTTATGGGCAATTAGAGACTTTGCATTGAATTTGTTGTCTTTTTACTAGATTAGCCCTGATTGTTGCAACTGAGGAAAGTGGAATCACCTATTCAATTTTAGCATATCCCAGATTAGTCTATCTGATCTCATACAATAACTTATTAAACCATGGTTAATTTTTTGGAAGGATCAGATGTTAAAGTTTTCACATTTTATTGCTGTGAATTTATAAGTAATAATTATTTGTACATATTGTGCGCTGCACAGATGGCTAGTATGCGACAATCTTTTAAAAGACTGCTTGGTCTAGGAGCTATACATTGTGGAGCAACTATAGCTTCAGAAATAGAGAGGTGTTGCCGTGTGAGATATATTATTGTGCCCCTCAGAGGAAGTGACAGTCGTGGGAGGAGTATAGCAGGTGAAGTTCTATAAAGTGCTCAAGTTACTAAAGTGCTCCAAAAGGGACACTGCTTAAAGGAAGTGGTTTAATATAAGGATGCATTGAGATACACGGCTTTCTCTAAAATGGATGACCTTAGAGATGCAGTCCAAGCAGATGCACATGGAAAAACTATGAAAAATTCACTTTCCGCTGCAGACACAACAGCAATGGAGAATGGAGGCAAGAGTGACTTGTCATGTACTGTGCTAGTATCGGTATAATATCATATAAGTTTACCATAGCATGATGGAATATAATTTGTTTTCATCTAAAATGGAGAGCAGTCATGCTACAACAATAAAAGTTCGATGTGAGATGATCTTTTTTAGGAAGGATTATGAACTGGGCTCTTGTATTTCTGGAGAAAGAGGAATTTTGCTGCTGTTGTACATTATTACACTCTTTACAGTACTGTTATACTCATAAATGAATAATAAGTATTCTTCCTGTTTCATACGCAACTCTCCTTGAGCCCTGCCTTGTTTTTCTTTGTTTTTGCAAAGCTAGCATAACTGCATAACTACACGAAGTTAAGGATGTATGAACTTGGTCAACTTTTCTTTACCTAAAAAGGCCTTGGCCGAAAGGCAAAAAAAAGGAAAAGTACTGTACATCATGTCAACAAAAAAATTTACTTACCTGAAAGGACTCTTAAGGTTTGCTTGATTGTTCTATAAGGTAACTTGTGTGAGCAGTAAGCAAATCAGAATTAAGATTTAAAGTAAAAGTTGGTGACTTCCTCTCCAACTGTCCTCTAATTGCAAGGAGCTACTCCTACTTGCCCTGCCCTTTAGTTTTGATGGTACTTAGTCTTTAATTGCACCCATTTTTGTTAAGAAAAACGACGCAACACTTCAAAACTTAAATCCCCACCGAAGTTACAGTTTTTGGTAGGTATGACTTTCCAAATGATTGTCTGCATTATATGCTCTGTTCTCCTGAGATTCTGAGAATATGATTACTTATATATATAGAAACAAAATTTTGTTTTTCAGATATTGCTAACATACTATAATCGGAATATTTATATATAATTACTGAACTTTATGGTGTAACTGTGTCCATTAGTAAATTAATCTTTGCTAATGGCATACATGACCAAAATTGGACAGTATTTTATGTTGACAGTAGTTGTCTGTACTGTCATTTTCATTTTCACTACAGGTTGTATGATCTTGGAACACCATCATTTCTCCAAGTTATGTAAGTGATGATTTGATTGAAGATTGTCTTGGAGTTTTAACATAATTTTGTTTATTCATTCAGCTGGAGAAGAGGATTATGAACCAGAAATTGGATCTCTAGGTGGGAATCCTGGCGAGGGTGCAGAAGACCATGGTCATGAAGGGTTTGATGAGGGTCACGGTCACGAAGGGGGTGAGGAAGACCATGGGTCGAGTGCTGATCCAACACATATTGTTGATGGAGCCTTGGTGTGCTTCCACAAGAAACATGTAAGCTCACACAAAACTTTTAAATCCTTACCTTTTTACGTCACTGGTTAAGTTCTACATATTGGCTGAAAATGGAGTATATATTCATGCTTTTGTTCATATTAAAATTATTACTGTTGCGTTGTTTGATTTATTTATTTATCCTAAATAATATAGGCACCCTAAAAATCCGTCCATAAAATCAAATTGAATTTATATTGCATTCTTAGCTAACTGAGAAAGCCAAGAGGCGCCTATGCAGTTGACATACTGCAAGTGCAACAAGCTTATTTGTGTATGGTTGTTATTATGCAGTTATGTCTCTAAAACTCTTATCAGATGTTATTCTTAATGGGAAGAAAACCTCGGCTCTTTTACAAAATGGGTTCAATGTGTTATTTCATTGAATTGAATGGGTTGTTGAATCTCAACGAAACTCTCAAAGGTCAATTTTTGTTTAGCTCAAGCAGAATGTATCACAGAGTAATATCTAATCTATTTTTTATGTAGCAGCTCTACAGCCAATGTGACGAGTCCTGTAGACTTACAGAGAGTGGAGATCTCCATGTAACCCATGATCACGTCGATGAGTTTTGTAGCGGGCCTTGCCTTGAAGAAACAAACCTCGTGCTAGATTGCATAGATGGGATCATGGATCATTTTACGTTCTTTAACAAGGCCACCACTCGGGATGTTAGGGACACAATTCTAGCTGGCTGTGGCCATGGTGAGAAAAGAGGTACAGGAGACTACAGTTATATTCCACTTTAATTCGTTCCAAAATAATAGGTTACTTTCTAAATGTAGTAAGTTAAAACACGAACTAATCCATTTTACCCTTATTAAATCTATAAAAAATATTTTTGTAAGGCGAAAATGTAAAAATTGTAATAGGGAAGGATAATTTTGATGATTTGCTAAGATCCTTAGAACGACCACAAATCAGACGTGGTCTATTGTTTAGGGACAAAGAAAATTATTTCTGCTTATATACTCTGCATCTTTTTCTTGGTTTTTCTGAATGACTCCTCTTTCTTTCTGGCATTTGAGAGCTCACTCTTGCATTGGTTCCTCGGAAGTGATTAATCTGAAAATTTTTCGTGCAGGTCATTTCGATGTAGGAGAACATATTGCAGATGACGAAGGCAGCTTTAACGCTGGTAGCCTTGCTACCATACCTGTACTCTCTGGCATTGTGATTTTAATCACAGGGCAACTTTTATTACTGTGAAACCAGGGTAATTACTAATTATTGAGTATTCGAACTCTACCTACGTTCCTTCTCCCCTTGAAGGTTGATTTATGTCATACTTTTGTTGTGAGGAGTACTAAAGTTTAGGAATTTGATCCATCTTACATGTTGTTGATGATTTGCCATTGTAATTTTATAATGGAAATCATTGTTTCATATTTGGTGTACTTGAATAATTGTCGCATTGTTCTAATCCATCATATATTCATATGTAAGAATTACTCTTTAATACCTATTGAATCGTGGCTGTTATGCTACGTTTAATAACATACTTCGTATATTTCTATACAGAACTTATTGGTCATTTCGTTGCATGTAGGAAGTTGCACATGCAATTTGGACGGTGTAGATAATTGTATGGTTGATTAATGGTTGAAGTAATATATAAAAATATCAGTGGTTGAAATAATGCATTTACAATCATGAAAATAAAAATGTTACCACTAAAAGAAGAAAAAAACAGAATAAGTACTTTATAATTAAGTTATATTATATCTCCACTCTTACAAAGACTGTTGATCTTAATCTATAAGATGAAAATCTGATTAAAAAGTCATTCTTTAAAACTGCAGGTAACTAAAACACTAGCTATCCATTTGATTTATATCAGCCCCACTAAGACACTAGCTATTACAAAACCTGCTTTAATACAACATGTAAATAAATTGTTTCCAACTATTGGAATGTATAATTCATGTTACATATCTATGTTTTGAAAGAATCATGAACCAAACATCTCTAAATCTTGTTTAAAATCTGTTCTTCCTAGACTTGGAATATCCATCCTTAGATACTGATGGATTAAGGGCAGAGTTTTTGACAGGATAAGAGGCCTCCATTGCAATCCCACACAATCCTTGTTTGTCAGGGATACCGCGCTTCATCCGTATGTAACCTTTCTCCCCCCATTGTTCTCCCCAGGAATTCTTTACAATCCAGTAGTCGATACCGCCTAGGGAAGTTCCATAGCCCACAACTGCTACACCATGGTTCAATTCTGTCCCACATTGTCCACTGAATACCCCCTTTAGAAAAATACATCATTGATGAAATATATTTAGTCTCAATGTTTTAGTTTATATCACAATGTTAAGCTAGCTGTTCAGAACTTAGATATTTGCTTACCTCTGAATAGAACTGCATATCATGACTCCCTGCATCAATGGCCACGGACACAGGTTGGTTCGCGACAACTTTGAGCAAAGCGCCCTCATTATTCACAGGTACATCCTCATGCCCATCAATTGATACTTTTGGACTACTCATCTGCACCTTTATTAATATTAGGAAAAATAATTCATAGTAGTATGACTTATTAGTGGTATGTACAAAGATATTATACTTAGGGAAATTGCAGTACAAACTTATGTATCTGTATGACTGTATATAATATAACTTTGCAGTTTATGGTGGATGATTTATTAATAGTACAAGATGTATATATTCTGAAGTTAAACCTTAAAGATGTTGCATATTCCTTGTGTAGCTGTGTAAGGATAGTTTTCTTCTGTTATAAGGCCGCCTTTTTGCTCGACAAAAGCGAATCCCCAATCCATGAGGCCACCATTGCATCCTCTGTTCTGGGAGGTGTCACAGTCAATAAGTTCTTGTTCAGATAATGAAACTAGCTTTCCAGTTTTGATTTGGTTTATACCCTCAACCGATGCAGCTGTTGAAAATGCCCAGCAACCTCCTGTCAAGATTCACAGTAAAAAACAATTCAGCAAAATAAGGAAAACTACAATCAAATTAGGCATGATTAGATGACTTGAACTGTCAAAAGTCCCTTAAGTGACCCTGGACTTACCACAATGGCCTTGGAACTTAACAGGCGTAACAGCACCATTTGCTCTCCAATCAACAGACATAGGAACATTGTCAACAGCTGCATACATGAAGCTTTTGCTACCATTAGTCTTCTTGCCTCGAAGCATCCGTTGGTAGTGAATCTTCGAACCAGCAAAGTAACTACCAAACTCATCAGTTGTCATGTCAGCAAAGTTATTCAACTTCAGCTTGTAAGGCTTGTCCATCTTATTAACTTGATGGACATGCTGCACATTCTCTTTAAACACATTGAACCTCTCGTGCTTGTCATCGAGGCTCCTCGACACAGCATACTGACTGCTCCAACTCTCATATAAGTCCCATAAACTCTCCTCGGATCCTAGATCCTTTTCTTGGAAATCAAACCCGTTAGACAGGCCGACGGCCATTACTAAGGCTAGGGATATTAAGAAGCACTCCTTGTAATTCATATTTGGTATATTTTTCTTATGTTATGTAACAGAATAAAGGGGTATATATAGGAGTGTTTGAGATTGGAGAAATAATACAAAGTATTAAAACTATTGAATTTTTTTAAGTGCTTAGATAAGATTTTATTGTTAAATCTGTTATGAAATGACGACCAATATTTATCTTAGCCATACAACTTTATAGTTCAAGTTGTACATAATCGTCATTATGTTTTCTGATTTACAGTGTTGTGAAATATGGGTTATAATAAAGTGTATAAAGGGGTGGGAGATGTGCAACTGCAATTGTCCTTTTCTTTCATTCATGAAAATATCCTGAAAAATTGTTGCAAGGATTCAATGGACCAACAAATACAATCAGCATTTTGTCAATGAAAACTATTGTGTTGTCCTGATCTATTTATCCTAGTACAAATTAGGATAAGATCATGCAACTTGAATTATACAGGGTTAGCAATTTCAAGCTAGATTTTAAGTTTTTGTTAAATTGTAACGCTCAAAATGGTGAGAATGATGAATTCATGGATTAAAATGTTGGAATTAATTATAAAATGACTTAGTTAGCCAAAGGCTCCTATCACAGGAGCCTAGCTGGCAAAGCCCTAGAGGGATAGGGGTGAGATTTGTTGTTGATGAGGATCAAACCTCACATTCTCAGGAGGTGAGGCGATCTCTTGTGCCACTGCACCAAGAGATCTCCCTCATCAGAGTTATATATATACGAAGTATATATTTTTTTTATTTAAATGCTTTTAAGGTGGTCATGAGTTTTTCTTATGTTGAAATGGATGGAATTCATTTTCACTCTTTGATTGAAATTGCAAAAATGGATATATTTTTTTTTTAACCGAATAATATTTTTTTTTTTTTACCGAATAATATCTCAAAACAAGTTCAAACGGATTAGATCCTAAGTTAGTCAAAATTACAATAATCAGCTTTTATCTAATTTGGACGGAATTGTAGTGTATCTTTGATCCACTTTAATGATTAATTGTCATCGTGCAATCCAAATGATTTCAACTTTCAAATCGGTCCAATTCTAGACATATTCTCCATATCGAAGTACATAATATCTATATCTTTGCTTTAAATTTATCACACATCTACACGATCACTCATCAACTAATGCCTTTTCGCATCACATATAAGAATTATTACTTGTTCACTCAAAGGTTACTACAATTGGAAAAAAAAAAAAAAAAAAAGCACTTTTTTCTGATCTACTTCTAATTTGGTTGGCTTTTTTTCACTCAAAGTGCATATAGTCGAATAATACAATCATAATGGATTTACTTCTTCCGTTGACTATAAGCATTTAATCTCATCATTTGACCATTTAACATAGTTCCCAAAAATTAAATACAATCTTTCTCTTTCTCTTTCTCTCTAAAACCATGTCCAAATTATCAAACATGTCAATTTCTAATAATCTTCCATCATCAAAAACTACATTCATCATTACATGTTTTATTCTAATTTCTTCTATTCTTTTTATACTAAATTACCAATCAACTTCTACTAACAAATTATTGTCAACTGCATCAACGTTGACTTTCCAATTTTTCTCCTTTTCCAATCCTGTTTCTCATGATCCACCTTCAAGTAACAAAAATACTTGTGACATTTTTGATGGAAGATGGGTTTTTGATGATTCATACCCGATTTACGCACCCGGGTCGTGCTCGTATATCGAAAACGAATTCAATTGCTTCAGAAATGGTCGCCCTGATTTTGGTTATTTGAAGTATAGATGGCAACCTTATGGTTGTGACATTCCAAGGTCTAGTCTTTCTCTTCCCCCTTTTTTTTTTTTTTTTTTTTTTTTTTGAAGAAAAAAAATGGAAATAATTTCATACGTTGAATGTTGTCACATAGATTTAAGTCTCATATTTTTTTTTTTTAAAAAAAAAATTGTAAATATGACATTGTTGAATTGAACTTATCTTTGAAAGTACGTAATAATAAATTAAAGATGAAGTAATATATTGGTCAATATTTCTGACAACATAGAAAAATAGATTAATCATTAATATTTGTTATTTATTTTTTATAAATTAAATTAGCTAATTGCATTTTTGTTAATTTGATTTAATAGGTTTGATGCAACGAAGATGATGGAGATGTTGAGAGGAAAGAGATTAGTATTTGTGGGAGATTCACTAAACAGGAATATGTGTCAATCTTTGGTTTGTTTTTTGAAGATGTTTCAAGGACAAACCTTTAGAAACAAATTAAATTATAACTATATTTTTAAGGTAAGTTTATCATATCATATCATATTCCTGCACTATTTTTAATTATATAGATGAATTTCGTGATTGTATTTTCTTGTGAAAAGTCTCCATCTTTAAAATATTGTACTCCTGCCATTTCATAATATAAGTTAGGTTTCGTTAATGTCAAATCTTGATTAGTATTTTTGGGATGTTTATAGGATTATAATTGCAGCATAACACTAATTACAGCACCATTCCTAGTCCAACAACGTCATCTTCCAAAGAAAAACGAAACATTGAGGCTAGATACTCTGGATGCTATGATCTACAAATACCGTGATGCCGATTTTCTCATCTTCAACACTGGCCATTGGTGGAACCATAACAAGTCCAGAAATGGGTATGCAAATTGATCTTAAGATAAGCTTTTTCTTATTTCAATCGCGTATTAATTTCAATTTTGTGGTTACATACGTGTGCTCAGTTTAAGTTACTCCATTTGTTTTATTTTTTTATTTTTTATCAGAAAGAAGTTCACGTGTTTTGAAGTTACTGTAGATCTATAACACGATAAATGTACCTTTTGCAGGGAGAATTATTTCCAAGAGGGTGATATCGTACACAAAAAGATGGATGTGGGAGTAGCATACACCAAAGCATTAAAAACATGGGCTAATTGGGTTGACAACAATGTCAACACTAGCAAAACCAAAGTCTTTTTTAGAGGCTTTGCTCATACTCATTTCATGTAAGAAAATTTTCTTAACTTCAATTTTTTTACTTCTTGAAATTCCAAAATGGTGTATTAATCTTCTGTTTCATTAAATTGATGCAGGGGAGGTGATTGGGATACTGATGGAGTCTGTCACAACGAAACCGAACCAATAACAGACGAAAAATTGTTAAAACCGTATCCATTTTTGATGCAAACTCTTGAAAAAGTGATCTCAGAGATGAAGACACCAGTAACATATCTCAACATTACCAAATTGACTGATTATAGGAAAGATGGGCACCCGTCTATGTACAGACACCGGGGAAGAAAAAAGCCGGGAGCGATTCAGGATTGCAGCCACTGGTGCCTCCCTGGAGTTCCAGACTCTTGGAATGAACTTCTTTTTTCATCTTTGCTATTCTCTTCAGAAGGATTTAACAGAACAACTTATTAGTTTGTCCTGTTTTTTCTTGTTTTTCTTTGGCCTTTGTATTGATTGGTACAGTTTAAACACATATACGAAAATGAGAAACGTGAGGAGAGTTTCTTAATGTCACTTTTGAGTTTTTTTTTTTATTATTTTTTATTTTTTTTATTTAACATTATACTTCGTACATATATACACAACGAGAACAATTATTCTACACGACTTTAGAGCTCATGTACACTTTTTTACTTGTCACAATAATACTCAAGAATTCATGTCATGTCATTGTATTTTGCTCTAAAAATTCCCTTAAACTAACCTACTGTACAAAACATTATTTGAACAAAACAAGTAATTGATGAGATCTATTAGACTTTTTAGAAGACATCAATAAATTAAAGAAACATAGAGAAGCTGGTTCCATGAGTCAGGAACACCAGGGAGGAACTACTACCCTTACTAATCCTTTTTCACTCTTTATTTCTGAATAACCAGCAAAGAAGACTTGTGTTTTGTTCTTGTTTACATGTTTGTCAACTCATTTAGCCCAAGTTTTTAAGGCTTTTGTGTATGCTTCTGTTACATTTAACTCAGGATGCACAATTTCACCCTCCTGAAACAAAAAATCAATTATACACATTGATTAAGTATTAGAAAACCGATATTAAGCAATTTTCATCCCTATTTTTTTCCATATATAGCCCATACTAGCATTTAGCATCATCTCTACTATATAAAGGAGGGTAGCGGACTAGGGGTGGTGATGGTTGGTGTCAAGCTGTACGTGAGGTAAACCACTACCCTTACTATTCCTTCTTCACTCTTTGAGTAAGTTTATTTTAGTAAATTGAATATCGTATATTATAATCGCTTGAGATTACACTACTACCCTTACTAATCCTTTTTTACTCTTTATTTCAGTAGGGTTATTTTAGTAAATTGAATAGTATTATGATCACTTGAGATTACACTACTACCCCTACTAATCATTTTTTTTTTTAACGAGCCCTTAGTAATCTTTCTTCACCCTCATTTGAGTAAGGTTATTTTAATAAATTGAATTTATGATGATCATTTGAGATATACTACTACCCCTACTAATCCTTCTTCACTCTTTAATTGTCAACCTATAAGCAATCAAATTAGATAATTTCAATCATCTTCATAATAGTTACAATCCTAATTTATAGTAAAGATAGATTATGGGGAAAGATATAGATTAACCCATAATTTACATCAATTTGACTCAATTAACCAAAAATAAAAAAAGCATTTCTCAATTATATAAGCACGATTTTTTTACAAGCATAATTAATTTAAACAACTTCTCCCTAGTTATATAATATAGATTGAGAGATAATGTATAATTTTTTTTACGCACAAGTATAAGTATGTGGTATAAGTTAGTAACAATAGTATAGTATATGTAAATAGCAGGATAAAGGAAGGGTAAAATGGGAAACAAAAAATACTTAAGAAACTTTGAGGGGAAACTCTTTTTTATATAGGCTATAATTTCAATTACATCACAGTATCACATACACCACTTCTACGCATGATGATCCTAAAATGACCAACACACAGTATATACAGTACACCAAAACTAAAATCGGACTAATACAACTAATTAACAACATTAGCAATACGAAAGTTAGAACAAAAGTCATACATCATGCAATATGCAACATGGATCATATGATTCATATCATATGAGCTAACTCTAAGTTTGTTCAAAGCCCAACAAGCTAAGAGACATAAGGAAAATCTTGAACGTAATACTATCTCTATTTTTTTTTACTTGACCCGCTTTGACTTTTACACTATTCACCACCCCCCTTTGACTGTCTTTTGTGAATAATATGTAAGAAAAACATATTTATGTGTGATCTTTTTGAATTCGTATTATTAAGTACTATCATAATATACAATTTTTATGATTTTTACTTATCGAAAATTAAAGTTATTGATCATTAAAGTTTTGCATTGACAAGCGTGAAAAAATAAATAGGTCAAGTAAAAAAGAATAGAGGAAGTAGTCATTAACAAAAGTCTTGTATCAGTTGTATGTATGGAAGTAAAGTACAAGTACGGCTCATGCAAGTAAACACCACCACTTTAATAGTTGTGGACAATAAACATGATGAAATCTTTCCTTTGTAGTTGTGCTAAAGCCCTTAGTTATTTTTCGTAGCCGACGGAGTACGCTTACGCCTCATTTTGCTTGGCCGAGTAAGAAGAGGATATCTACTCTGCTTCTTTGTTGTTGGCTTTCGATCCACAACATAATTGGGTTCACAACCCCATTCGGGACCCCTTGAATTCAAATACGGAGTATGTAAATTGTCTATTTTTCTCCTAACTGACCAAAACAACAAGATGACCATGTTTGATTTCACTGGTTTTTCCATTTTCACTTTGGAAGAAAATACACTGAACTTCTCCTCCTCCTTTAAAAAGGGTATAGCTATTGTTTCGGGTGAAAACAATGGGACCTTGTCGAAGGTCCGATGAAGTGGAGAAGACTAGATTCGATCCAAGTAATGTTGGGCCGAAGGTTTCCTGCACAGTAAACACACGTAAACTAGCCTCGGGGGTGTTGCCGAGGAAGGCCCCTCCGATGCTAAAGTCAGTACAGTGTGTAGAAAGAGAACACTATGCAAGAGAATTAATTGCTTGAGGCTTTGCTTGAATGAATGTACAAATGTAATATTGATGGCTTTTATACCTCTGCATACATGGAGAAGTTGGGCCTTAGCCCAATTGGCTTGCCTTGAGGACTGATCTTTGACTTTAGCACAATTGGAGAGATGAACCTTGACCTTGGGCTTTTAATTGGATCATTTAATGCCTAGGCCCAATTAGACTAAATTGGACCCAAACAACTTGCCCCCCAGACCCGATTTGGAAGGATGACGGGTCGGGTTTGATTTAATCAGAAAAGGAGGGAAGTGAATGATTTAATTAATCCAAAAATTTGAATTTAAACCGTAATTAAACCGTAATTAATGAGATAACAACAGTTAAGGTGGATAATTGTGGAAGTTGGACGGATAATGGGCAGTTTAATCGCAAGGTCGTGTGTTTAACGGTTACTTAGTGGGGTATTTAAGAGAAATTGAAACGCGGACTCCCCGTATTCCCATTTCTGGAGATATAATTAGAGGCGCGTCATCTCTCCTCACTTATTCACCAACACAAACCCAGAATTCTCGAGAGAACCCAAGAACCCGCATCAAAACTTCGCAAATTCCCCGAGCATTAAGCTTAGAAACTGAGACTCGCCACTACCAATTAGTAAATCGGCAACTTTCGCTTCAGATTAAGGTAAATTCCTTTGATTTTAGTTTATTTTTCTTCGAATTTGAACTCCTTCCCTTTTTTTTCGACTTTTTTCTTCGAAATTATCAATGGCGAGAGGAGTTAGGGGTAGAGCCCGTGCTCCAAGAAGAGCAAGGCCAATTCCCGATCCCAGGAACAGGATTGGGACCTGGAATGGACAAAGAGCAGAGTCTGACCCTTCTGAAGGGATTAGGGCGACTCCAATTTCCTCGGCTCCTCCTCAGAGAACGGAGGGGCCGAGCGCTTCTGGGCGGGACGATGAAGTTCCCGCTGTCCTTTGGGATATCCTTCCCGGGTTTTCAGAGTGGGAGGATGCCGAAGTAGCTTCGGCCATGATAAAGAACCGCCCCTACTCATGGTGGGTGGAGAATGCCGAACAGTATCGGTTTGCCGAACAAATTGAGTTTGCATTACGGCATCCTTGAAGCTGATGGGTATTGGTGCCGAATGCCCGTGGCATCCGATAGAATCCATCATCCACCCCCGGGGTATGTGGGGGTGTACACAAGACAACTTCAGTATGGGTTGAGGTTCCCTTTGGACGTATTCGTCCGAGACTTGCTGATCCATTACAATATTTCCCTATGTCAGCTAACTCCTACTAGCATCCGAAGGGTGATGACATACTTATGGGTCTGCAAGTTCTTCAGGTATGTGCCGAACCTGCACTGCTTCAAAAAGCTTCATCGGCTAGTGCCAAATATTCAAAGTGGGCACGGAAGTCACGGTTCTGGGTGGTACCGGATCGAGTCTCGGCCCCAGTACCTAACCATGTGGTCGAACGACTCTTCAGACAAGGACTGGAGAGGTCAATGGATTTGGGTTAGGGCACCCACGGACCCGGGCCACCCTTGTGTCTTCAGCGCTCTCAGGTATCTTGCTGAGCCTGATCCCGACATGGGAAGTTTAGGTCCCCCCGAAGATAACGGCTCAGATCCGAACCTTAATCAACAGAACATCTTCGACAAGCTGCCGAACCGGGGGGGCAGTGGTCGGATGCAGCATATCCCGGAGACTTGGCTCCCCGATACGCATTATGTCTTCCAAGAGAACATGTTAGCAGCTGTCGGCCTCAGCCGAAAGTTTAAGGATGGTAAGCTTCTTCGGCTGGGGCCGAGGCCTTTTATTTATCTCTTTTCCTCCGTTTTCACTTCGCTCTTTTATGCTGTACCAACCTAACTGAACTGACCTTTTCCCTCTTCCTTTTCAGAGCGGGACGAGGCCAACGTCGGCATTAACTACACTCGTCTTGGCGTCAACCGAGAACGAGTTGTAACTGATCGGGCCCCCTCTATCACTGAACCGAGGCATAGGGAAGTTCATCTAGACTCTTCCCATTTCAAAATTGAGGCTGTTGCTCTGTATCAGAGGCAGAAGCCTTGGTGGAAGAAGAGAGATCCCTGGTTTCAGCTGCTGGACGAACAAGCTGAAGCTGCCCGTACGGCCGAAGAGGTTGCATGGGGTATTGAAGCTTGTGAAGGAGGAGAAGGGTCCTCCAGGGCTGCTGAAGAAGAAGCTGCAGCTAGGGCAGCTGAAGAAGACGAGGCTTTGCTGAAGACCTCGGTGAGCTTTCGGACTTAATTTTATCTGTTTCTGTTTTTTTTTTTTTTTACTCACATTCTTCCTCCCCCCTGTCTTTTACAGTCCGAAGAGAGTAATAGACATAGAGAAGGGAAAGCCCCTGTTCGTCCCGAAGACCAGATACAAGAAGAGTCTTCAGACTCAGACATGGACGAGCAGCCGCTTCAGAAAAGGCGACGAAGAATGACCATCATCGGCCCGCATGACTTTCAGCGGA